GGGTGGAAAGTTTATTGCATATGCTTCGCGGCAATTGAAGATTCACGAGAAAAATCATCTAGTTCATGACTTGGAGCTAGCAGCCCTTGTTCACGTGCTGAAGATTTGGATGCACTATCTATATGGCGTGTCGTGTGAGGTGTTCACTGATCATAAGAGTTTACAGTATTTGTTCAAGCAGAAGGAGCTCAATTTGAGGCAAAGGAGGTAGTTGGAGCTATTGAAAGGCTATGATATCACCATCTTGTATCATCCCGGGAAGGCCAATGTGGTGGCCGATGCTTTGAGTAGGAAGTCAGCTAGTATGGCTGGCCTTGCATATATTCCAGTCGGTGAGAGACCGCTTGCTTTGGATGTTCAGGCTTTGGCCAATCAGTTCATGAGGTTGGATATTTTTGAGCCCAGCCGTGTTCTAGCTTGTACAGTTGCTCGGTCTTCCTTATTTGAGCGTATCAGAGATAGGTAGTATGATGACCCTCATTTGCTTGTCCTTAGGGACACAGTGCAGCATGGTGATGCCAAGCAGGTTACGGTTGGAGATGATGGAGCTTTGAGGATGCAGGGTCGTGTTTGTGTGCCTAATGTGGATGGGCTTCGTGAGTTGATTCTAGAGGAGGCTCACAATTCCCGGTATTCTATTCATTCGGGCACCGCTAAGATGTATCAGGACTTGCGGCAACATTATTGGTGGAGGAGGATGAAGAAGGATATTGTTGCGTATGTAGCTCGGTGTTTGAATTGTCAGCAAGTAAAGTACGAGCATCAGAGACCTGGTGGTTTGCTTTAGAAGATAGATATTCCTGAGTGGAAGTGGGAGCGTATCACTATGGATTTCGTTGTTGGACTCCTACGGACTCAGAGGAAGTTCGACGCAGTTTGGGTTATTGTGGATAGACTGACCAAGTCAGCATATTTCATTCCTGTGGCAATTTCCTATTCTTCGGAGCGGTTAGCAGAGATCTATATCCATGAAATCGTTCGTTTTTATGGTGTGCCCGTGTCTATTATTTCTGATCAAGGTACACAGTTTACCTCGCATTTCTGGAGGGCAGTACAATGTGAGTTGGGCATGCGGGTCGAGTTGAGCACATCATTTCATCCTCAAACGGACGGACAATCTGAGCGTACTACTCAGATCTTGGAGGATATGCTCCGCGCCTATGTTATTGACTTTGGAGGTTCTTGGGATCAGTTCTTGCAGTTAGCGGAGCTTGCCTACAACAACAGTTATCAGTCAAGTATCCAGATGACTCCCTATGAGGCATTATATGGTAGACGGTGTCGATCGCCGGTTGGGTGGTTTGAGCCGGGGGAGGCTCAGTTGTTGGGTACAGACTTAGTGCAGGATGCCTTGGATAAGGTTAAGATCATTCAGGATAGACTTCGTACAGCTCAGTCCAGGCAAAAGAGTTATGCCGACTGTAAGGTTCGTGATGTGGCATTCATGGTCGGAGAGAGAGTGTTACTTCGGGTGTCACCCATGAAGGGTCACTACTAGAAATTCGGTAAATACCGACGAAAAAAACCGACCAACTTTGATCGGTTATGGCCAATTACCGACCAAATACGCTTGAACGGTATTTTGATGGTCGTTTTAATATACCGACCAAAGTTGGTCGGACATTACCGACCAACGTTGGTCGGTAAATTAAATTCAAAAAAAAAATATTGCAAAAAAAAAATCGACCAAAGTTGGTCGGTATTTTAATTATGTAACCAAAAGATTCACCGTCTGGGAATCGAACCGGGGTGTGTACTGTGGCAGGATACTATTCTACCACTAGACTATTGGTGCATTTTATTTTAAGATTGTCTTTTTATTTATTTATACTCTTTAATTGTATTTTCGCACGAAAATAACCGACCAAAGTTGGTCGGTTTTATTAAAAAATAAAATTACCGACCAAAGTTTGTCGGTTTTTTAAAATGACCGGCCGAATTTACTAACCAAAGTTGGTCGGTTTCTTGAAAAATAAATTTTGCGGGACTCAAAAATAGTTTCCCGCATTTTTGCGCCAAAGAAAACCGACCAAAGTTGGTCGGTTTTTGGCCGGTTTTTTTACTGACCAAAGTTGGTCGGTTTTTCTTGGTCGGTTTTTACCGACTTTCTAGTAGTGGGTGTGATGAGATCTGGGAAGAAGGGCAAGTTAAGCCCTAGGTTTATCGGGCCTTTTGAGATCCTTGATCGAGTGGGAGAGTTGGCCTACAGACTTGCGTTACCCCTAGGTTTATCAGCGGTACATCCAGTGTTTCATGTGTCCATGCTTCGGAAGTATCACGGCGATCCATCCCACGTGTTAGATTCAGCACTGTCCAGTTGGACAATGATTTGACTTACGTGGAGGAGTCGGTAGCTATCCTAGACCGGCAAGTTCGTCAGTTGAGATCGAAGAGTTATCCTTCGGTTCATGTGTAGTGGAGAGGTCAGCCTGTTGAGGCAGCTACCTGGGAGTCCGAGCCCGATATGCGGAGCAGATATCCCCATCTTTTCACCGGCTCAGGTACTTTTCTATGTCCGTTCGAGGACGAACGGTTATTTTAGAGGTGGAGAATGTGATGACCCAAAGGGTCATCTTATGTTTTAGAACTTGATTCTGTGTTCCGGGGTCTTCAAAACCTCATTTTATTCCTCCTCGATTTGCGTGCGTAGTCCGAGCGTGTATCCGGAAAGCTTTTATGTGAAAAATATAAGAAATAATAATTTTTGGCCTAAAAAGTTATTTTTTGTTGACTTTGGTCAACGTTTTGCGTAAACGGACCCGGACCCGTATTCTGACGGTCCCGATGGGTCTGTAGTAAAATATGGGACTTGGGCTGTATGCCCGGAATCGAACTCCGAGGTCCCTAGCCCGAGAAATGATTTTTTGATGAAAGTTGTTAAACTGAAATTATAATGGTTTTGAGAAAATGGTTAATAGTTGATCTCGTTGGTATCGGGTCCATATTTTTGTTCCAGAACCCGATACATGTCCGTTATGATATTTATACCTTATTTGTGAAATTTGGTGAGAAACGGGACTGACTTGGCGTGATTCGGACCTTTGGTTGAGAAAATAGAAGTTTTGAAACTTTCTTGAAAATTTCATGTGATTTGGTGCTAAATTCGTAGTTCTGGGTGTTATTTTGGCGATTTGATCGCCCGAGCAAGTTTGTATGATGTTTTAACACTTGTGTGCATGTTTGGTTTGGAGCCCCGAGAGCTCGGGTGAGTTTCGGATAGGCTACGGAGTGATTTGGACATAAGAAAAATTGCTGGTATGCTTCAGGTCTGCAGACTTCGCAATTGCGAGGTCTGGCTCGCAAATGCGAGCCTCGCATTTACGAAAAATGATCGCATTGTTGAAGCAGGGGAGGGGACTAGGTAGTTCGAATTTGCGAAGAGTTGGCCACATTTGCGAAAGTCTTGGTTCGCATTTGCGACTTGGACTTTGCATTTGCGATGGCAGCAGAAATGCGAGAAGTTCGTATTTGCTATACTTCGCAAATGCGACATCTGCAGCTGATAAGTTTGGACTTAGACGGGATTTTTCATTCATTCTCCCATTTTTTCAAAACCTAAACCTCAAGAGGCGATTTTCCAAAGGCAATTTCTTCCCCAAATCATAGGCAAATGATTCTTAACTCATTTCTTTCTTTCAATCTTTTGCATCTTTTTACAAGATTTCATTATAGAATCTAGGGTTTTTCATAGTGGAATTAGGTGTTTTTTGGTAGAACTTAGGAGTTTCGAAAATTGGGGATTTAGACCTCAAATTGAGGTCGGATTCCAAAACCAATTGTATATCCGGGCTCGGGGGTGAATGGGTAATCGAGTTTTGGTCCGAACTTCGAGTTTTGACCAAGAGGACCCGGGGTCAGTTTTTGACTTTTTGGGGAAAATATTGGAAACTTATAATTATGCATTGGAATTGATTTCTTTACCGACAATTGATGTTATTAAGTTAATTATGACTAGATACGAGTGGATTGGAGGTGGAATCTAGAGGAAAAGCGGTAATTGAGCTTTGAGTTGGCCGTTCGATTGAGGTAAGTGTTGTGTCTAACATTGACTTGAGGGATTAGGGATCCCCGACTTAATTGCTATGTGAAATCCATGTGTGTGGCGTATAGGTGAGGTGATGAGTACCTATACGCCGCCAAATTATCTGTTTAGCCTGTTTCCTTCCCCGTTCCCAATATATTGTTTTTCTGTCTTAGCTGCTACTTGTTTATTGATGCTTCCATGTTTAATTGCTTCTTGTTAGATGTTGTTTTCTTTATTAAAGGTATTAATTGTTCTGTAGTTCATTGTTTCACATTATTGGTTTAAGTTGGTTTATCGGTGCTTTATGGTACATTTTGGTTGGTCCCGCTGTGTAGTAGTAATTGATGAAGTTTCATAATTGTATAGATTTCCGTTTGCTTTGGTTTGAGGCATAAATGTTGTGGAGGGTTTGAGCTAAATTGTGAAATCCTTGTTCTTATTGTGTGATTGGTACTGATATGGTGGGATGGGGTTGCACGTCGCAATAGGAGGAATAAGGGTGAAATATGATTGTCTGGTGGGATCGGGTTGCGCGCTGCAACAGGAGTAATAAAGGTGGACTGGTGGGATCGGGTTTCACGCCGCAACAGGAGGAAGAAGGGTGATATATTGAGGAGTAATAAGGGTGGACTGGTGGGATTTGGTTGCACGCCGCAACAGGAGTAATAAGGGTGAATGTTTATATTGTTACTGATTATATGGTGTGATCGAGATGCGCGCCGCATCATTTTGTTGTTTATGAATTCTTCTTCTGCTGTGATTTATTCCTGTAGTATTGTAACTCTCTTAAGGATTGGTTATAGCTGAGTAGTGGCAAGATAATTGCGTTCCGTATTTATTTTTGCTGCAGTTACAGTTCCATTCGTTCCGTATTTCCTTTCTGCTTTATTATATATTGTATGCAGGTTATATTGTAAATGCCCCGCCGTAGCCTCGTCACTACCTCGTCGAGGTTAGGCTCGACACATACCAGTACATGGGGTCGGTTGTACTGATACTGCAATCTACAGTTTCTGTGCAGATTTCAGAGCTGGTAGTGGCTGATCGAGAGCTCGGTTGCAGATACTTCATCTAGGAGACCCAAGGTAGTCCTGCTGGCGTCCGCAGGCCCTGGCGTCCCCTCCTATGTTTCTATTTTCCTATTTTCTTTTCTTTCGAGACAAATGTACTTTCTTTCAGACTAGTATTTGTAGCAAATCGTAGTATGTTCGTGGATTGTGACACTAGTTTCTGGGTGGTAATAGCTTCGGTTTTATTAATAGTTTATAGATGGTCGGTTTATTATGTACTTCCGCATTTATTCTTTTTTGATTTAGTTTTGTTAATTTTAACTATAAAATGTAAAGGAAAAAAGTGAATAGAACTCTAACGTTGGCTTGCCTAGCAAGTGCGATGTTAGGCGCCATCACTGTAACGACCCGGCCGGTCGTTTTTAGAATTTACGCTCCGATCCCCTATTAATTGTTTTCTCCGTGTTCATTTCTACTATTTTGAATTTGCCGGGATGTTCGGTTTTTAGTTTCGGAGAATTTTGGGACACTTAGTCCCTAAATGAGAGTTTAAGTGTTGGAAATTTGACCGTAGTCGGAACAGTGTGAAGACAGCCTCGGAACGGAATTTCGGTGGTTCCGTTAGCTCCGTTGGGTGATTTCAGGCTTAGGGGCGTGTTCGGATTGTGTTTTGGAGGTACGTAGCTAATTTAGGCTTGAAATGCCGAAAGATGGATTATTGAAGTTTCCGGTTCGATAGTGAGATTTTGATCCGAGGGTCGAAATGGAATTCCGGAAGTTAGAGTAGCTCCGTAGTGTTGAATGTGATGTGTGTGCAAAATTTCAGGTCATTCGGACGAGGTTTGATAGACTTTTTGATCGAAAGCGTAAATTTTGAGTTCTTGAAGTTCTTAGGCTTGAATCCGATGTTAAATTGGTGTTTTGATGTTGTTTTAGGTGTTTTAAGGATTGGTATAAGCTTGGGCAGTGGTATTAGACTTGTTGGTGCTTTTGGTTGAGGTCCCGGGGGCCTCGGGATGATTTCGGATGGTTGACGGGAAGATTGGAAATGGTTTGAAGTAGCTGAAGCTGCTGGGTTCCTATCATAACCACACCTGCAGTTGGGTCCCGCAGGTGCGGAGCCGCTGAAGAGGCGGGTCCATCGCAGAAGCGGAATTGGGGAGGGACAACAGGATCCGCAGATGCGGAAGATTTACCGCAGAAGCGGTATCGCATCTGCGCATGGTGAATCGCAGGTGCGGAGTAGGCTAAGTGAGTGGTTTTCGCATATGCGACCGCTGGTCCGCAAAAGCGGGACCGCAGGTGCGGTCCCAGGACCGCAGATGCGGTTTTACTGGGCAGAAAAGGGGCAGAATCAAGGGTTTTGTTCAAAACTTGGAAAAATCATTTTGGAGCTCGGGGTAGGGCGATTTTGTGAGGTTTTTGAAGAGAAGATCATTGGGTAACGATTCCTTGTTCCTTTCCAGTGATATTCCATTAATCTTATCTTAGTTTTGTCATTTAAATTCGGATTTGGAGATGAAAAATTGAGAAAAATGGGAAGAAAGTTCTTAGACCCAGAATTCGAATTTTGATGGGGAATTCGACCTTGGATTTTGATAATTTTGGTATGCATGAACTCGTGAGGGTATGAGGATTCTGACAATATAAATTTTACTCGATTCCGAGACGTGGGCCCGAGTGGCATTTTGGTCATTTCACCTAATTTCGCGCATTAGCTTAGAATTTATTTGTAGAATTAGTTACTTGAAGTATTATTTACATTATGCAATTGAATTTAATAGATTTGGGTCATTCGGAGTCGAATACTCGTGGCAAGAACGTGGTTTCGGGTTGATTTTGAGCTGGTTCGAGGTAAGTGGCTTGCCTAGCCTTGTGTGGGGGAAACTCCCCTTAGGATTTGGTATTATATATATTTAAAATGCCTTGTACGTGAGGTGACGAGTGCGTACTTGTGCTAACTGTTGCGAAATCCGGTTTTCTTTAAGTAATTTTAATTGTGTTTCTTTTTCCTGTTTATACTACTTGCAATTTAAGCCTGTTGTTAGCTTAGGGAAGCATGTCTAATTGACTTAACTGTTTACTTGCCCAAAACTGCCTTATTTGGATTATGTGCAACATGCTAGGCTAGAAGTACCTGTTTTACCTTAGTATGGAATTTGAACTGAATTGTGTATTTCTTCGTGTTGTTGCTGTGTGTTTATTTTGGGACTACGGGACGATATCCCGGTAGATCCACCTGTATATTTACTTTAGGACTTCGGATTTATATTCCGGTAGATCCCCCTACACATTTACTTTGGAACTACGGGACTGCACCCGGTAGATTCCCCCTGTACTTGATATTTACATTTGGGACTACGGATCGGATTTTCGGTAGATCCCCACGCATTATGAGGTTGACTACGGGACTGCACCCGGGAGATCCACTGGATATTTATGTTGGGGACTACAGGACGGTATCCTGGGAGATCCCCGGTTGTTATCTCTGTGTTGAGTTGTACTCCTTTCCGTGATTATTTGTCTCTGTTATAGTTGCTGTTGTTCTTTCTATTCTATGTTCTTTCTCACTGTTGCACTTAATTATACTGTCTTATTCTACACTGTTATACCTTAGATTTCATTTAATCTCAGTAGGGCCCTGATTTTCCTCGTCACTACCCGACCGAGGTTAGTCTTGGCACTTACTGAGTACCGCTGTGGTGTACTCATGCCCCTCCTGCGCAGTTTTTCATGTGCAGATCCAGGTACCTCTACTCAGACTTACCATCCTTGAGGCGAGGCGATCTTTCGGAGACTTCGAGGTATATCTGCCGCGTCCGCAGACCGAGGAGTCTCTCTCCATTCTCTCTTGTAGTTACAGCCCTTCTGTATTTACTTTGTTTTAGACATTCTGGAGTTAGAGCACTATGTATTATTCTTAGCTTGTGATTTCATGAGATTCCGGATTTTGGGAAAAGTATTAGTATTCGAAAGTTGATATGGTGTATGCCTAGTGGCATTTTTAAACACTGTTTTATTTACCATTTTTGGTTTTACTTGTTTTTCTTCCGCAAATTGGTTTATTTTTCCGCATTATTAGGCTTACCTAGTCGTAGGGACTAGGTGACGTCACGACAGTTCACGGAGGGCGAACCGGAGTCGTGACAATTACGGTCCCGATGGTGGGAAATCCGGATCGTGACAATAATAGGGGTTAATACACGGTTCAATGTAAGTTTAAAAAGCAATTATAAGAACAACAAAAGGCCCAGTGTAATTCCATAAGTGGGGTATGTGAAGGGCAATGTGTACGCCGACCTTATTCTACCTTGTGAAGGTAGAGAGGTTATATGGAAGACACTCGGCTCAGTAAAAACGTAATCACAACATTGTTGAAAAGAAATACAGTAATGGAAAAGACACAGTAATGAAAGCAATAACAACAATAAGATAATAAGATAACCGAAGCCTCCCAGGTATACGTATTATTGAATTAATAAAATTATTTTATCAATTTGATGCACGTTCGGAGTGTGCTATAATCTCAAATTATTATAATGAGGCAATTTTTGACATTTATATACATACTATACGAAACAACATCATGCATGGGCAAATTATGATAGTAATTGTTTTTTGATTTTTCTTTTCTTTTTTTACAATTTCATGTCTTAAAGCACAGAATTATGTTTACAATTGTACAGTAATTTCTTCTTTTTAAGGCTATAAACGAACCTACAAAACTGTGTTTAATTTAGTCTTCATTTTAGTATTACAGTTGATGTTATGTTATAGAAAGAATTATATGAGTGTCAATTTTGCATCCCTAAGAATCATTATATGTATACAACCAAATCTCTATAACAGCCTCGTTTGTTCCGATATTTTTTGGCTACTATAGTGAAGTGTTATTATAGAGAACATATATTATAACATAATGTTAAAATCGGTTTCGAAAAAACTTAGCTTTTTTAGTAAATGGTTGTTATATAGGGGTGCTGTTATAGAGAGGTCTGACTGTATTTATATTTATCATAGTTAAATTTTATCTAAAAGTATAAACTATACTTTAATTTATACCAGTCTTCTAACTAAGCAGGACAAATCTTCCTAAAGTAAGATCCAAGGAGATTTTGAGAATCTTATCCAAATTCTTGCCAGGTAATCTCCTAAGATTTTTTTTAAAAATTTTTTTTGGCCTTAAACACAAACTATATATATATCTTTTTGAATTTGGATATTTCATTACCACCTCACAATATTCACGCAATCTCACTATTAATTAGTTTGAACAACAAAATCTATCTCCAAGAAAAAGTTTCAACCAAAAACACTATATAGATATAAAGTTTTAGCAGTAAAAAGCAGCTTCAACTATCTCTTTGAATATTGCATACTGATTTGATAGAATAATCGAATATCTATATATTATATATACTTCCAATATAAAGACAAATGAAAACGTAACATTCATTCTACAATCTTACTAGTCACCATCTTATTTGCTCAATATAAATAGATATTGATATGTCCAAACAATGTCAATTCACCAGCCAAATTTGAAGCCTCAAACTTAAGTTTTCTTTTCTTTTCTTAAATTAATCCATCCACTCAGGCTTTCATCTTTCTCGCGTTTTTTTTTAAAACTCGGTAATTAATATGGAGGGTAGTAGTTCTAAGGGAAAGAAGGCCATGCAAGAAAAGGAAAGTGGAAACAAAGGGAAGGAAGAGATCAAATACCGAGGCGTCCGAAGGCGGCCGTGGGGGAAATTCGCGGCGGAGATACGTGATCCGACGAGGCAAGGCGCCCGACAGTGGCTCGGGACGTTTGACACGGCGGAGGACGCGGCGAGGGCGTATGATAAGACGGCATTTAACCTAAGAGGCCATCTTGCTACCTTGAATTTCCCTAATGAGTATTATTCTCAACTTTCTAATCCTCCTTATCACTATCGTACTACTTCATTTAACATAATTAATCCAATAAGAAGAGGTTTAGAGAAAGGAAATTCATCAATTGGAAATCAAGATAAAGAAATTATTGAGTTTGAGTATCTTGATGATAGTGTATTAGAGGAGCTTCTTGGATCAGAAGAGCCAAAAATGACGAGAAAGTAAGGTTAAGTTGCATTTCTGTTATATAAAAAAAGTTTGCATTTCCATTTTCTAGAAAATTACAAAAAAAAAAAAAAAAAGAAGAAGAAGAAGAGAAATAGCCCTTATGTTTGGGATATCGTTTAAAATAGTCCGTTAAAGATATTTCAATTTTAATCCTTTAAGTTTGGTAAAAGTGAGCAATTTTAGATCTGTCAAATATTTAACAAACTCTGGTTGTTAAATTTATCGAAAATTGTAAAAAAGAAACTCACATTTGAAGGAGCATTTTTTTTTTGTGCAGTTTCTGCTATTTTTGATCCATTTCTGGCGCAGTTCTAAATTTTAGAGTTTTTTTCGTGAGATTTAATTGGACTTTCCTGGCGTTTATACCTTCTCGGTTATTCAGTTCCCATATTTTTTTTGTTATGGAAAATTAAAGAATAAAACATATTTAATCGAATCCCAATACTGATATCAGATATATTTGGTTAGAAACCAAAGAAATAAAGTTAAAAACCAAAGAATAAGTTGAACTTTTGTGTTGACTTACTATTAAGAAAATGGTCAAATGTTAGAGTTGATTGGAATATTTATACTTTTGTGTTGACTTACTATTAAAAGAAGATGTATCATTGAACTAATTAGACCAAAAAGAAAGGTGAAAAGATAAAGAGGAGAAGATCGGATAAGGGGAAATAAATAACGGAAAAGAAACTAACATAAAATAATGAGTTTGATCTGCCGATCATACATAACAATACTTCTCATAAAAAAGGTGTCTCTTCCACAAAAATATTCATTCAATTGAAATTTTTGTGTCAAAAAGAGGGAGTCATACTTTGGACTGCTTTTTTCAAAAGAAATTATCTGAAAGCCCTTATGGTTAAGCATCGTTCAATCGCAAATTACATCGAAGTGCTTGATGACGGTACGATGGTTGTTTTCTTCTTAACTCTTTACGTAGAAAAAATATTTCTATATATAATCACAATAATATTCCTCTTCCTTTCCAACGAGGGACAAAATTCCTTAGCAAAACTTTTACAAACTTTTGATTTCCCCCTCCATTTTTTTCCTTGCATTATATATATATATATATATATATATATATATATATATATATATATATATATATATATATATATTCCAAATATTTAACTTGCAATATGTGGGAATCACTTACTTTGACATGGATGATGAACATGAAGCTCCAAAATCGCTCCTAGGTCGGGTCCCATGGAGAAAATGAGATGAAATGAGCCAAACCCATTTTTGCAAACTTATACACTGCCCAGGCGATCCTTCTTCTCGTTCGCGAGCCTCCCATTGCATTCGCGATGAACAAAATTCTCAAAAGTCATTTCCAAACTCTTCTCAGACAGTCTCTAGTATAATGTCTATAACTTTTGGTACAAAACTCCAAATGATAAATGGTTTAATATTTTGAAAACTATACACCAAGATCTACAACATTCATGCTTTGGTCATCTGCCAATTCCTTATAGATTTTTAGATATAAGCTGCCAAAGTCAGCCCTGTGCAACACAAATTTCTTCTTCATCTTTCCGGACATCTTATAGTGTACCAGCCATAATGTTTTTTACACAAATCCAAATGCTAAATGGTTACCATTCTAAAAACTAGACACAAAGGGCTACAACTTTCATTTTCGGATCATCTCCAAATTCCTTATAGATTGTGAGATATGAGCCTCCGAAGTCAGACCTGCGTAACAGAGATTTTCTTCTTCGCAAACGCAAGAATCTCTTCGCGAACGCGAATAACAAAATCCCTGAAGCCGAATCCTTCTTCGCGAACGCGAAGAAAAACACCAGACACTAGCATCTTCTATAGCAAAACAACCCGAAATGATCAGAAACCACCCCGAATCACACCCGAGGCCCCTGGGGCCCCGTCCAATCACACAAATCAGTCCCATAACATAACACGAACCTGCTCAAGGGCTTAAATCACATCAAACAAAATCAAAATCATGAATCACATCCCAATTCAAGCTTAATGTACTTTAGAACTTCAAACTTATACATTCAATGCAAAACCTATCAAATCACGTCCGATTGACTTCAAATTTGCATAGAAGTCACATTTCGACGTTACGGACCTACTCAAACTTCCGTAATCGGATTTGGACCCCGATATCAAAAAGTCCACTCCCGGTCAAACTTCTCAAAAACATTCAAATTTCTAACTTTAGCCAAATGACTCCAAAATGACTTACGGACCTCCGAATCCACTTTCGAACGTGCCCCCAATACCAGAATCACCATACGGAGCTATTCCCATACTTGAAATTCCAAGCGGATATCGATAACAGTGAAATGCACTTCAATCCAAACTTATGAAATTCTTCCAAAAATTCTAACTTCCACAAAAGGCGCCGAAATGCTCCCGGGTCATCCAAAACCCGATCCGGACATATGTCCAAGTCTAAAACCATCATACGAACCTGTTGGAACCTTAAAATCTCGATTCCGATGCCGTTTACTCAAAAGTCCAACCTTAGTCAATTCTTCCAACTTAAAGCTTCCGAAATGAGAATTCTCTTTCCAAAATGAACTCTGAACTTCCGAAATTCCAGTTCCGACCACGCGTACAAGTCATAATACCTTAAGTGAAGCTGCTCAAGGCCTCAATCCGCCGAACGACGTGCTAGAGCTCAAAACAACCTGTCAGGTCGTTACACCAAATTGGTTTAGACTTGTAAGATAAAAAATCATTTTTGTTCTTGTAAGACAAAAAAAAATTCCCAAGAACGCGAGTTGTTCTTGAGTCACCAAGATAAATAGTTTATTCTCCTTTCTCAACTTGGGTGTAAGACAAAAAATCATTATTGTTTGCACAAATGTGCCTAGTAACACCAAAGACTATCACCCAATCTCTCACATTGGCCACATTTTTTATTTGGGAAATGACCGCAATAAGTATATTATCTGCTTTAGTCAATTTAATTTTGACTTAGCAAGATTGTCGTTTATCCCTACTCATCTCTTGCATTGAGGTGCATTTTTCTTGAAGGTTTTAATATTAGCATCAGATATGTAACCATGTTTATTTACATACCTGTATTTTGATATCAATGTCTGCTCAAGCTGTAAATGCAATAACGGATTTGCAGCACCATGAATATCTGGTAGGATAACTGGAACAATAACAGCAGGGACAACACAAAAATTGGCAGCATCATCAAAAATTTCCGTAGTAGTATTTACTTGCCATAGTTTCTTAGATTATAGGAAAATAACACGAGAAAATAACAATAATACTGTAATAATATTATTCGTGAGCGGAAATACACGAATTGGCTTGAATCGTGTTGGGCGCCTCTATTTGTTCAGAGGATACAGGAATCAGCAAAATTAAATAACACCAGCAAGTTTGGAATAAAGCGGAGGAAAGAAATAATAACAAGAGATAATGATTTGGTCAATAATGGAAAGAATAATTGTAGTAATGATTAGCTAAAGAAGAATGTAATGATTAGCTAAGAAAAGTGTAAAAAGACCAATTTTTGGTGATGTCTCTTACGGATGAACAAAAAGGCTATTTATAGATATGCTAGCAATCTTCTTAAATTGCCAAGTGTTTAATTGCATGAAAGATGATTACCACTTGTTTTTGGCTTAGCCATTTGGCCACAAATCTTAATGCAAAAAGGGCACATGGTAGATTTGCATATCCACTTGGAAATAGATAGGACACTTGTAAAATAAAAAGACACATGACTATTTAAAATTTTGAAAATACTGCCACACTTTCTTCTCTTTTCGTAGCTTCCTCTTCTTTCGTTGAATCTTCCAATTTTAGTTAAAGATCTTGGGCTAGCAGAAGATCTCCAAATTATACTTTTTTCTGTTCTTCTTTACATGGTATCAGAGCCACAAGTTGGCTTCTAGATTTTAAGGTCGTGTTAGTGGTTGATTCAACTAGTCTCTCTAAATGGATTGGAGTGGTTGTGCTAATGGACTGAGGATGAAATTATTGAACCAGTCCAACTACAAGATATGGTCCGAATGCTTAATGATCGTGTACTAAAGTTAATTTATTGCATATATGGAATGATCATAGTAGTATGACAATGTACAGTTGCGATTCTTCAAACTAAGGAGATCAATTAGCTTCTGCTTGTATAGAGGTGGAAAATAATGGTCAAACTGTTGTTCGCTACTGTGTTGAAACACAAAATCAAAAAACTGTTAGAAGAATAAAAGAAACTGGAAAACAGTAAAGAATAAGAAATATTCCGAGTCCACAATTTGCTTGTGCGTCCTTAAGAAATTTTAACCCCCTCACAAGTTGCCAAGGTAATGGATTAAATCCTCCCAGGATGAAATGGAATAAACCTTCCTGCAACAGTGGCAATACAAACTGCAGGATACCAACGAACTCAAAGAACGGAGCAAAATCACACTTACGAATTTGAGAGAAAGAGACTGCGAATTAGAATGCAGTATTTTTCAGAAAGAAGGAAGTTCTGTAATGTTTTTGGTGTGTTAAAAACGAAGCCATGCCTCAAAATTTATAGGCAATTATTGGAAGAGGTGTGATGTTTGTTATGGAAAAGGTGTCTGTTCAGAAGTATACGCGTCCTGCCGCGGTCCTACCGCGGTTACGCCAGGACCGCGGCCAGACTATCCTTCTGAATTTTCAGCAGTGATCTGGCATTTAATTAATTATTAAATAATTAATTAAATAAAATTTATCCAAAAATAATCTTATCGATTATTTGACAAATCCAAATCCAAATCCAAAGCCGAAGCCGAGCCGAGCGAGCGAGCGACGACGGCGCGAGGGTTCATTCTCTTCAACTCCTTTTAAGAGCTTTAAGAAGTGATTCTATATATAAGCACACAAATGTAGTTGTCCCTTATTGGTGAGGGACAAAGTGCAAGTCAAAAGCTCAGTTTATTCAAATTTTCATTTCCCTCCATTTTATTTCCCACCATTTCCAATTCACACTCTTAGACTTCAAAGCCCAATGCTTAAAGTCTTTGAATCCCAAT